CACAGCTCACAGCAACCTCAAACTCTTGGGCTTAAGCGATTCTCTTGCCTCAGCCTCCCAAGTAGCTGGGACTACAGGCACCCACCACAACACTCAGCTTTCTTTTGTTGCAGTTGTCATTTTTGTTTAGCTGGCCCAGGCTGGGTTCAAACCTGCCAGCCTCAGTGTATGTGGCTGGTGCCATAACCACTGTGCTACGGGCGCCAAGTCAAGTAAACCAATTCTTAAGGTAAACTATCAATCATTCCTTTTTGCAATCTGTCCTTGACAGCTTGACTTAAGCTTATTTAAAATGCTGTAGGAAACTGCTGACTGGCAAGATTGTCACTGAAAATCAGAAATAACGGTTTAGGACAGATTCCATGGGAAACATATGAGGATAACTAAAATAGACCTTAAAGGAAGAGAAATTCTCAAAAGCAAGGACAGATTGAGATCACAGAAATGACAAGGAAAGATTCCCATTGTTTTTTCCAGTGTTGAAGAGCTCTTTTGCTTACCTGCTTACCCCAAACAAAAAGGTTTAAGTAAAAACTTCAAATGTATGTATTACAAAAGGTGTTCTGACAATGTCAGGCTGGCTGTCAGAATCTTACAAACCTGCCCGGCCATTGGATTCCTGATGAGACTCTGCCCATAGGAAAGGAATGGTGCTTTCCTACTAACTGCCAGAGATCCTACTGCCAACCAGGTAGCAAAGATTGGGAATAAAGAAGCATCAGTAAGAACAAACTTGTCTAGTTAGAACCTTGTGCTCCAGAAGCCTCTTGGTACAAGAGCAGTACAACACTCTTTCCTGGATCCTTTCCCTCCCTATCCAGAGAGCCATGTAAAGAAGCACTTCTAATGAAGATCCCAGCTTCATCCCTTTACTTCTTGGAGAAGGAAGAGTCCAAATCTATAGGCCCCTAAGTCAGGATGGTAATTAAGTTTTGGAACTACTTTACAGTTGAATGCTTCATATCTGAAAGAAAGCTTGAACCCATAGTATTTTCTTCTTTTTGATTCTGTCTAACTTTAAGCTCTGTGGCAATTGGGTATATACAAAGGCCATTAGCTTCCAAAGAAGAACAATGTTTAGCCAATAGGTTAAAATTTCAAATGTGCAAGTAGAAGCGGAAAATGTTGTACACTTGTAATTTTAACCTATTACTTAAAAATTATTGTTCCATTCTACTTTTCAATCAATCACTAGAAAGACTCAGACCATTGAGAACACATACTCCTTTCTGATTTTGAGATTCTACTGCAAAAGCCATCGCTTCATACACACTATAGAAGAGAAGATTTTCTTCTTCCTTTTTGCAGTATTCTCCCCTGATCAGAGAATCCCTCACAGATGGATTACACTGAGCCAGCAGAACCTGGATTCCAATGGCTTCATAATCTCTGTGAACTTCTTTCAGTGTTTGGATCCCTGCCGTATCTAAAAACTGTATAGCACTGCAGTCAATCACTATAGTATGCAGCTCCAAGGGACTGTGGGAAAGTTGCACTGAAACTTCATCCTGGATTCCACTGAAAGTCACTATTTCCTCTTTCATCTTTCTCTTTGCTGCCTTTCTCTGAGCTGCTTTTACTAAGACAGGGTTGACAGTTTTTTTGTATAAAGCAGATTTAAAGCATTCTTTGTTTATGTAGTAGAGAGGGGCTGCAAAGCGGAAAATCTTGATGCCAGGCTTAGTCTGAAGGTTCCTGTAAACAGACATGGATTCAAAGGTTTCAGACTCTTCCACCAAGCCAAGCAATGAATTCTTTGGCTTCTGAGTACGGAGGATGACACAAAACATAGAAAAACAAACCCCAACAAGCAGGCCTATTTCGGTACTTAGCAGTGCCGAGGACAACATAGTAACAAACCAGATGACTGTATCCATTTTACTAACCCTCCACATATTGGGCAGATCCCTAAACTTACGCAAGGCTCCCCGGAGGTTTACAATTGTGATCACGCCAAGGACACTTTTCTGAAGGGAATAGAATAAAGGTGCTATCACCAGAAGGACCAATAAAAGAACCAGGGCTGTCACGACACCGGACAGTTGAGTTTGACAGCCTGTTGATTCTTTAACTAACGTCTTTGCAAGAGCTGCACTAGTAGTAAAACAGTGGAAGAAAGAAGGGATGATATTGCAAAAGCCAATGGCATACATTTCCTGATTCGCTCTGACTGTATAACCATGTTTCTTGGCAAACATCTCAGAAAGTGACACGGTGATAGCAAAACCAATGATAGAGATAGCTATTGCATCTATAGCTACATTAGGAATTAGGTTCCAGTCCGGTGCTTTGGGTGGCAAAAACCCAGTGGGAATATGTCCAGCAATACTGGAATTATAATTTTCATGTAGTTTTCCAAAATGAGAGGCTAATGTGGCTGCTACAACAACAATAAGTTCCGTAGGAATTGGTGCCTTAAGCTTGGACTTGAAGTGCTCATTGAGTTCTTTGGTTGGCACAAGAACCAAAAGGCACAAGAGGCTGGTGATGAGATCACAGAGATTGGTTTTATGGATGTTTCTGAAGATATGTATCCAGGTAGTGATGAGTGAGCCCACGCCACTACTCCGAGGAAGGCTGAGCCCAAGGAGATACTTGGCCTGAGACGTAAGAATAGTGAAGGAGGCACCAGTGACAAATCCATTCAACAAGGCATCTGAGAGGTAGACAGAAACAAAGCCCACTTGAAAGAAGCCCATCGCTACCTGGAAGGAAGGACATACAAATGTTAAATATAAATAGAAAAGAATTTCTAAATTTCATGTTACCCTGACATATCTTGCATGGCAACATATCATCATAGAATGTCAGAACAAGAACAAACACAATCATACATCAATTTTCTCATTTAACAAAGAACAGAAACTGATGTTTAAAGGGCTAAGCAACTTGCTCAAGGTCACGTAGTTACTCACTAGCCCAGATGAGATACGAACTTAGGATTTCTACCTTCTCATACCTTGAATAAAGTTTAGACTTCTTTCCACAAGGAAATTTCAAATTGGAAAAATTCTTCTAATTAAGAAAGTATGTGTTTTCTTTTTCTTTTTTTTTTTTTTAGAGACAGAGTCTCACCTTATCGCCCTCAGTATAGTGCCATGAAGTCACAGCTCACAGCAACCTCCAGCTCTTGGGCTTAGGCGATTCTCTTGCCTCAGCCTCCCAAGTAGCTGAAACTACAGGTGCCTGCCACAATGCCCGGCTATTTTTTGTTGTATTTTGGCCAGGACTGGGTTCAAACCCACCACTCTAGGTATATGGGGCTGGTACCCTACCCACTGAGCCACAGACACCACCCAAAGCTATGTGTTTTCTTTTTTATTGGCCAGGGCCAGGTTTGAACCCACCACCTCCAGTATATGGGGCCAGCGCCCTACTCCTTTGAGCCACAGGCACCACCCACTATGTGTTTTCTTTAAACTACATATCGTTACTCTAAAAGTGAAGTATTAACTGGTAAAACAAAAAAAAATTAAATTCACATAAAAATAGAATCACACGGCTCGGCGCCTGTGGCTCAAGCGGCTAAGGCTCCAGGCACATACACCTAAGGTGGTAGGTTCGAAT